ATCAGCAGCCACTACACTTAAACTCCAGGCTAGTTAGGGTCGGCTATATATCCTCATTATCATTCCACTCCATTTGGAGTGTTAGTGGAATGATCAAAGAAATTTACAAATTTAGCTCCAGGATTCTACAGTTAGGAGGAAAAGCATGGCAAGTCTATCCTCAGAATTATTATGAGATATCACATAGTTACTCCGGGGAGATGGGGCTTCAACAAGCGAATAGAGTGGCTGATGCCTTGGCTAATTATGCAGCTCATGATCAACAAGATTCTTATTTCTTATTACTCTGTTGTAAACTCTCTTCCTCAAGATAATAAGAATCTATTCAATTTTTTGATATGTTAGGAATTCCTAGTAGATTTCATTGTGCAGTTTATTAGGAGACTCTTCATCTCACTCAATTATTTAGTTATACCTTTCATAAATAGGGGATAGATATGATCTGTCTCTTACATAGCTTTCTGCATGTTCTGCATTTTCGAAAAAGAGAAGTTTTGGAAGTTCGAGGTAGTTCCGCTCTCCATGTAAAGATTTTGACATTTTAAAATAGCCCACCTAGAATCCGAGGTTGGATCTAGGTGATTGTCGGGGAAAAACCTTATACCCTGTTATTTGAGTTGTCCAGAACCATAAACAAACTACAAATGTGACAATTTCAGAACTGAGATCAAAGGATAGTGAAGGACAACTACCTCTTCATTTATTCAAATCAGAGCCCCTTTTATCACCCCCTTAATCATACCCTTTCCTGTCTTGTTTTTTCTAGGTTACACAATTTAAACTAAACAACGAAGGATACAGGCTTCAAATACTCTAAGTCTCTAACAGGTCCTCTGGTCTGGTGAGCAGGCAGCTTTAGAATAGCATACATGCAGAAAACTGCTAGTTAAAAAGAATGACGGTCCTTCATCATATTCAAACTATTTGCCTTGATATCTCTCTAATGTAAGGAACCTCTCCAAGGTCCAAATGATTCTTAAATTCCATTGTCCAATGGTCCCAATCTCCCATTAAATGCATGGATGGTTTTGTCTTGTATTATTTCATGTCATTATTACACAGAAAGAGCAGACATGGAATGTCAAGCTATCATGTAAAAAGTTAAACTACCTACCAGACACAAGGGTGAGCAAATGAGCACTTATTAGAAGACATTTTACCTTCTCAATGTTTTCCATCATAACACCTTTAACTTCCGAAACCTGGGCTTTCACCTTCGCGATTTTGCTAATTTCATCAGGATGGTCAGCACAATACTGCATATGCTCCTTCAACTTAGGTCTGCACTTAAGAAAGCACATCAGTTAGATGACTCGACCAAAAATTCTTCCTTTACATGCCACTGAAGTAAATATTTAATAAAATCACCCGAATTCCTTGTTCAAGCTGTTTGGAGGAGCTGTCGCAGCCTTCCCACCCCCATATTTCGACACAAAATCATCCTTAACACGCTCCAAAAATGCTATTGGAACTTGTCTTCCAACAGACTCCTCAGCAACCACACAGTATGCTGCAAGATGAATCATTAAGTTAGCATAGGTAAGTCCACTAATTAACAAACTAGGCAACATTGGTATATTTCTGAAAAGTGAAAGATATCTAAAGAATAAATCTTCTAATAGCATCAGATCTTTCTCATAATAGCTTATTGAATTCCGTAGGTTAGACAGTAAGCTACGATGCTCTTCACTTGAAAGTAAATAGACAATCAGCAGATCACAGTAAAGTAAGCAGCTAAGATAATATACAATCAGCAGATCACAGTAAAGAAAGCAGCTAAGATAATGTATCTTGGAAGGTGAACATTTTCTTAAATGTACAACAAAATTAGGAAACCCCCAACACAAAAATACCACAGTTCACAGTAATATATATTTTTAGATCAGTATGGTTTCCAGTACTAGAGCTAGTCAAATCATCATATTTTCGAAAAAAAGAGTACTTTTTTCAATAGAGTTTACATACAGTTGTCAGAAATTTCTTCGATCCCTTTTCATAAGTAAGCAAACCCCAGAAACAGAAACACAAATAAGAAGAGAAAAAGAAACAGCTATTTATATAACAACAAAGAGAATTGAAAAATAGAAAAAGAGAACTGACTGAAGCCATTATCGACAAGGTAATTGAAGGTGTGACCATCACAGTTGTAAGTGAACTTGTTATTAGAAGCAGGGAGCTTCTGAAGGCACTGATAAGCTATGGAGTTGAAGTTACCACTGAAATCTGTGTATTCAGCCAATATCACATTCCCACGACCCACAAACGCATAGATCAAAGCCTTCTGCTGACCCATTTGATTTCTTGCTGGATCGATCTAGGTTTTCTTTTTTGGGAGGTTTTTCTTGGATTTGCTTAGCAAGTAAACAAAGTAGAATTCAACGATGAGAAAAATTGTAGACTATGGAGATCCTTCACTATTCTCTCTCTATATCCTTGTGACTTTTTCTCTCTCTTGACTTGTAGAGAGAGAAAGAGAATAAGGGGTTTTGAGTGAAAGATAGAAAAGGGGTGGCTTAAATGAGGGGTTTTGACACCTATTGTTAACAAATATCTTCCACCACAATATACGGGGGTGTTCGTCGGTCGGTACGGTACGGTATTTAGATATTTCGGTTCGGTATTTTCGGTATTCGGTTTCTTAAAATTCTATACCAATACCGAACCTAATTAAATTCGGTATGATTCGGTTTTTCTCCTTTCGGTTTCGGCTTATTCGGTTCGGTAACTTCGGTTCATTCGGTTTGAATACTAACTAGTGCATAGAGCCATACACTTTAATATTCTTAATTAAAGTACTCAAAAACACAAATCCGAAAATGTTTGTTGACAAAGTTTTTGTCCAAAACTACCAAATATCGATCCAAATAGAGAAAATTGTAAATAAAAGAATATTTGATTATTAGAAATGTCTTGTTACTTGTTTAGAGTTAATTGATGAACTTTGAGTATAAAGGAAAGTAAAATTTTAGATTTTTTATATTTATGTTATAATTGATAATGTGTATTTTGTGTAATATAATATATATTTCGGTACGGTATCGGTATTTCGGTATTTTATTTTAAAATACCAAATACCATACCTAATATCAATTCTTTTAAAAACTTAAAATCAAATACCATACCAAATACCAAAATACCGTATACCAAATACCAAAATTTTCGGTTTCGATACGGCAATTCGGTATTTACCAAATTATGCCCAGCCCTACATTTCCCTTTGGCTTTGACTTAAAGTAGCTTATAAGCATATAAAACAGTATGTTAAGCAATGAAATTTATCCTACAAATGCATAATCATGTATACAAGTGGTGAAATTAGTTATAAGCATTTGATAAGTTTAGTAAAAAATTATTGATAAATGCATTTGCTTGAAATAATTAATATTCAGAATAAAAGAACAGGTGTTCTGTTCTCGCAGTACACTTAAATCACACGTACATGTGCGGGAAGCATGCCGAGCCACATAAATGGCGAAGTGTAAGATGCCCCTAACAGTTGGCATTCATTTGGATTTTTAGTGTCATACTTAATCGAGTTACTACGACTTAATACAGTTGCTAATCGATCAGGAACGTCGTGATGTATATACATGGCACACTTTGTAAGTGTCCAATAGGAATTTTCCTAGAGATGAAAAAAGCTTATGCTTATGGTTTACGGGCCAACCGGCATATTTCAGTGAATGTTTATGAAAGATTTACTATGCATTATGAAAACTTGATTTTGACAAAAGAATGATTTTATAGATGGAATATTTCGTAAAAAGACTTGTTCCACCTTTTAAAGCATGATCTCTGCAACTTATAGGGTATTTTCATTCTCATCCAATTTACTTTCCATTCAGGGGGGAGAAAATTTACTTTCCAGGTTTTACATGTTCGATTGATATTCCGATGACAAGACTTAAGCACAACTACATAAACTTTCGACTGTGCACCCCCACATTGGATGGATGGCTTCATATGTTATTGTTTTGATTATTAACCAATAATCAGGCTACGATCCATTTCTACTTATGCACGTATGATGTACTCATTAAAAGCTACATCACCACTATGGATTAGTATGATTAATTTGGGTATGTAAACAAATGATGCTTCTCCATGGTTTGTACACTATTGTTTTCTCTTCAACAAGTAATGTGACTATGCTTCACCTGAGCCGAGGGTACACAAAAATGGCTCTAATACCATTTGTAACAGCCCAGCTCGTTAGTGATATTATCCGCTCTAGGCCTAGGCCCTCACGGGTTTAAAACGCGTCACTATGGTCTAAGACTTGTTAACTTATATACTCAGCATCCCTCTTGTGTTTTGCCAATGTAGGATTCTGTCTAAAGTCTGAGGTGTTACATCCCTATCTTCACAAGGTAGAGGTTAGGCCGCGTACATACCACCCTCCCCAAATCCCACTTGTAAGATCACACTCGGTCTTTTGTTGTTGTTAAACAAATGAAGCCTCTCATTGAGGGCTTGAGCTTTTTACATATGTGTCTGTGGGGAATGAAGTTGATGCCCGAATACAGTACTTCAGAAAACATGAAACATAGCATATACCTCACAATCTGATACATAACTATCAATACTAACCCCCCCCCCCCCCCACACACACACACACACAANTAGATATACACATAACCTACACCCCCACCCACACACACACACACAAAAAAAAAAAAAAAAAAAAAAAAAGATAAATTAATGTTCTTGCGGAACGCCAAACCTACTTCAAATTTGAACAACGATATGTTTACCAAATATTGCTTTTTCTTCTTTTGGATGATATAGAACTCGATACACTAATGAACAAATCAAATAAAATCATATATACATAACTCCATGAAGCGCTCTCTCCTTTGCCCTTGTATATATTGGCAAATTGGCATATCAGAGGACCAAACTTTTCACCGAGGCTTCGTTAACACCCACAAGCATTAGCTAGAAACTATTTTATCATCTGTAAATCTGGAACAATAACAATGAATTGACCAAGGAGGAGATACCTTTAACTTATAGCTAGCATAACAGGCTACTAAGTGAATAAGCAAAACGAGAAACAACAAACTTTAACAAGCAGAGAAACAAAGTGAGCTCGAGTTAGCAGGCTAATGGATTTCCGTTATACATAACCAAGAGTTAAGAGGTATTTATCGCATCTTAGCACTAAATCCTCTATAAAGCATTCAGCAACTATATATATACAAGGAGTAAATCAACATTAAAATGGTCTATCAAAAGGCTCACTTATGCATCAGAAAAGCATGTAGCTTGGTGCTGTTAAAAATATGTGAAGCCTAAGTGGAGATCCAGGATAGACTTTTTGATGAAACACTTTCCAAAACATTGCCAGATAATTGTGCAATAAGTAACCAGGTAATCACCATCAATAATGTTGAAACATCTCCTATAAATAATAGATTTACCTTTCATAGTCATCAAACTGACAACAATTGCTCCGTACTCCAGTTAAGAGGAGAAAAATGCCAGCAGATCAAAGATGCCTCAGGCTGACCAGTTCGATATCAAATATGACTGTCCCCAATGTCGCGCCTTCTCCATTTGCAAGACGAGTTGGATTAAAAATGGTAGTAAAAAGCCTTTGCCGATCAAAATACTGAAACAGGGAGAAAAAGTTCACTAACTCAAGTCCCAAATGAAATACGTTGATGAAATTAAAAGTATTTCTACTTTTTGTTTTATAAACAATTAAGAGCAAAGTAATCTTGGTTTCAACTTCAAATAAATACACAATCAAATCAGTTATAAAGACCCTTCTACAGCAGATTTTAAGAATTACTGAATCATCCAGCAGAAAAAAGCTGGCACAAGAAAACTCCTAATGATAGATAAGTTTGAATGTGTCAAAAAATAATAATTTGGATGCTCCTCGTTCCCAATTCAGTTGGCCTACTTTCTCATTTAGTCTATCCCAGTTTACAAGACCCCTTAGCCATAATAGCAAACTCTTCCATCTCCAAAAAAAACAAACAGGACACCTCATGCACATGCATCTTAATTATTATTTGAAACATAAGAATAAGAAACTCCAGTGTCATAACACATTTAAACTCTTTTTTTCTCTCGTCACTGAAACTAAAAGTCGTAAAGGGTTGTAATTCAAAACATGGAAGCTGGTATGATCTTACTATATCCAAAAGAGCAAAGTAATTCTTGCAAAAATTTCCCTTCTGAAAACTCACTATTAAAGATGCAATATCTTATCTTACAAAAGGGTAAAAGTTCACTAACAGAAACATATGTCAGACAGAAAAGGGAGATTAACCACATGATTCCATGCCTTTTACTTTCCAATCCCAAGTTCGGTAGGTACACTACGCTTAATTTATGTAAAAAGAGCATCTAGTAATCAGAAGACTGACTAGACTTCCTTACAAAGTCTTTCCAAAAGAATGCGACTGAGAAGGACCAAAAATAGATTATAAAGGAAGAGAGCAACTTCACACATTAGGTGGCAGGGGTTCTTGGGATGTATTCTGATATCCTTGAGATGGTGGTATAATAACACGACGAAGGCCGCCTACTTTCATCGATCTCACAGCACTTTCAATCCCTGATATAACCTGCAGTAAATTGATAGACAAAGATGTGGAATTAATTGAATTGTTTTATAATTTAGTAGGTTCAGACAGTCAAATAAATACCACTTCAAAGAGATTAAGTAACAAAGAATTCAATATAGAAAAAAAGGTAAATTCATATCAGAGGAAAAAACTCAAACAAAGATAGAAGCAAATTGAAACCAACCGAACCAAGCATAGTACACCAGCTCTGAAATACCAAAAAAGTAAGGGAAACCAGACCAGGGAAATATCTCGTTTGAATGTCCACTACAATGAGAACATGTATTCGAGATAGGTAGAGTTGGGAATTGACAACATCAACTAGTGATCTTTTCAAAAGTAAAACAAACATAACAAATTTTGGTACTACAGTGATAATCTGAATTACAGAAGAAAAAGATAAACATTCAACATCATCCATTCTAATCGTATTCTCCTCTTGGATACGCCTGGATCTGAACCTACATTTGAAGTTTACCTCAGTTGTAGTCCTCACCTACCCACCAATGTTCCCCCCTTAGGCCAGATCGTCATTGTTCTTGCAGTCTTGGTGATTCTCATTAGTACTTGCTCCATCATGACCTAGCGTCCTCCACATTCCCCGAACCTTCTTCCTTTCCCTTCAGCAATGCTGGACAAGTTTTTCTAAATGCATTTACTTTTATCTTTTTCCTTCATCATTCTTCTGTTAAGCATTTCAAAACAACTTTATCAAGTACTTATCTTCCACTGCTGTAGGTGGTGCCAGAGGCTAAGGTTTCCACTTTTGTAGGTGATGCTAGAAACTGAAGGATCGCAAAGAGGAAAGAACCTTGTAGCAGCAACAAGACTAGAATCAAATAGCCTAGAAGCACCATTTACTCTAGATGATAGCAAGAACCAATAACACAGAGGAATGCACATTCCTACATGCTGCTCACAATTGGTGGCTATATGCTATAGATAGGCTTTCATTTCCTCATCCTTTTCCACTCTGGTTGTCTCCCCACCACAATCGCCCCCTTCTTTGGTCTATTCTATTTTCTAAGTATGGAAAATCCTACCCCCAAATTACCCTGCCCAGGAGTCAATAGTGGCCCTTTTCTATTTTGTTTTCTTGGTGACTGAACTCCCACTCTCTTGGTTGGAAGCGGAGTGATCTTGCCTCAATTGCAATCTCTTTTCTCCTACTATCTAACATATTGGGTTAAAAAATTTAAAACCACCCTGACACACTGAACTTTTCCAAAAATCCAACCTACTGGCACTGTGAACTACTGTTAGCAGAAGAGAAGAGCAAAATGCTAGCTACAAAGGGAAGTAACCCTTCCTCCCCCCTTAGAGCGCGATGCAGAAGACATCGATCTTTTGATTCATTTCTCAACCCAATTTTATAACGTTACACTTCCAACAAAATGTCTCTTTGGTCTTGAATTTGAGAGGACAAGCTTGCCTCTATGCCCGATATCCTATCCACCTGGATCATACTTGATCGCAAACTTGGTTTGAGGATTAGCTAGCTCAATTGCTGGTGAAACCAGAATAATATTGCAGGGAAATTGAACCTCAATACCTGCTGTCTGAATGTAAGTTGACTGGTAAACTTGCTCTGTCTGCAACATATTGACACCCTATATAAACTTTACATGCCAGATGTTGCTATGTTTTTTTATAATTACCAGATGTTTCTATGTTGAGTGCATAGCAATACAGCCATGATTGAGGGAAAATTTACTGATTTAAGAATCAAGCATACAACATAATAAAAGAAAAACAACAACAACAACGACCCAGTAAAATCCCACAAGTGGGGTCTAGGGAAGGTAATAAAAAAAAACATAGGCTAACATTTTTAACATTCCTAAAATCCCAAGAATTTAGAAGTCCAATGGGCCAATTGCAAAAGTTGCTATCTAGTAGCTTTGCATTTAGCATAATTAAATTTATACAACACTTCCCTTTTCGAAAATTTCAAAACCTATGCCCAAGTTCTGCAGAAACTTTTAACTCCCTCTTCAATATTGAGAATCAAGACAACAATAAATCACCAACCCACCTTTCAGTCTTTACTCACTCATACCAAGTCTGGATTGACATTGACCTCTTGTTGTTGCCTGAATGCTGTATTGCATAAAACTGTTGGTCCAAAGAGGACAAAAGCATCATACAGAGCACATATTATAGTCGTTCATCCACATGGCCTACTCAATGACACTCATCTATAAATTTGTTTTTTTTTTACTCGTATGAATTTCATGATTATTATTCATATGCTTAGCTATTATCTTATGTCCTGAAAAGGGTGCCTAAACTTTTTACTTTATCCAAACTAATTCTATATTCAACCAGTTAAATAAGTAGGTACAGTAACATGTTTTTTTATTAAAGGAAGTAGTTATAGTAACATGCTGTATTAAGAACAGCAAATCATCAGGTCAAGTTCAGCATTGGAGTTTATACGTGGTGAAGCAGTTTTATAAGCTCTTTGGCCAAAGCATCAAGCAGACACCGATCAACCACATTGAAGTTCAACTAATTACCTTGAGTCCTCTTTTCTCAGGTAAAAAAACTTCAATGGACAAGTGCAAAAGACAGGTTAACTCACTTTGCCAGAACCAAGGATGAAAGAGAAGGGAATTGGTTCCCCAGTTTCATCTTTGTGATCATACGTTGAGTCAAAGCGCCACCCTTGCTTTGCAGCAAGTCTCCCGTAATAATGAATTGCAACCTGTCCAATCACCGTAAGAAGAAAGCTTAACTACTTTACTCCAGAACTGCAACTGACATCATAAAGCACTACAAGTACTTAAGTTTTATGTCATGATGACATTAATGTGCAAGAGCACCTTCCATTCAGAGATGATCCACTGATTCCTCCTTGCTTTTTCTTCAATATATTATCCTGTCCTTTTGCACAAAGAAAAACCTTATGCAACACCATTGACCTCACAGTGACAAAAGTTTTATAAACAACACTTGCCGAATTCTGACTTATTCCAGTACTAGCATTTTGTTCCTATTAGTTTTAGTTGTCACAAAAAGAAGTTATATGCACTTATAGCATATGCCACAACAATTTAGTAGAAGGCTGGTAACTCCACATAAAAAAGAGGTTCATCTAGGCTCATATTTTACTAAACAAGCAGACCAATATAATTTGATATATCATTCGTAGACAATATATGTGCAAGAGAAACTTATTTTTCACTATGTCAGAAACTCAACATTAGAATCTCAAATGAAGAGATTTCTGGTCCTAAATTTCGCAGACATCAATCGATCAATCAGCTATGTCTCAATCCAAGCTAGTTGGAGTGAGCTATCTGAATCCTCATTTCATTCCAATTAATTTGTCTCTTAAGCCAAATTAGAAGTTATTTAAAACTTGATTCTTTAAATCCCACGCTTACTAGGGCAAGAATCCTTAATTCTAGCTATTTGATAATCATTTGCTTCCACAATTTTGCAAAAATATTTCACTCAAAATTTTCCAAAGACTCAATTTTTTTGTTACCAATAATATGTGATTACAATATAAAGCACAATTTGTAGAGAAAGAAAGAGAGAGAGAGAAGGGTAGCGACCACATCACCATCAAGGGGGGTATCCCCATCACCAATACGAAGGTCCAAGGCCTTGACACCACCCGAATTGGGCAGCTCTGTGAACTGTGGAACTTGAGCATTTGAACTGGGTCCATTTGAAAAGATTAGAGCAGAGAATGAAAGAGTAAACGCAGAAAGAGAGAAGGCTCTTCTTGATTTCTGGGTTGAACAAGAAGAAGCACAAGAGACTTGGTTTCGTGTAGTAGAGAAGGGGAGGGCTCTGTGGCAATGGCGTGTATATACGTATGTTGAACATTGAACTAGTTTAATCATTGCCATCTTCACTTCTGGCCTTCCTTTTTCGGTGAGGGACAGATTTCATTAAATTTGTCCAAGAGACCGTTTGGATTGGCTTACGGCTTGTTTGGATGGCTGTTTCCCATTGTATCGTCCATGTTTGTTTTGATTGTCTCCTTAAAATTGATTATATTGTATTGTTAAATTCATTATTCCGAATTAACTAAAAGTTCCATTTTCTGAAACGATCCATTTAGTGTTGTGAGATTGTTTCCTATTTTTCTTTCCAATTATGCCTTAACTTATACAATTCTATTTTACTTTACCTTTTTTTCTATTTTAACTCCAAATCTCCAACCTATAACCTACTTTATTTTTTTCATAACTTTTGCCGCCAACGTTTGTTTTTCCGCCTTCTATTTTATATTTTCTCCTAATTTGCTTTTAACTCAATTCTAATTAGTTTTGCTTTCTTCTGTCTCGCTCCTTTGTTCTACTTTCTTAAGGTGTTTTACCTTCTTCTGTTTTATTTTTTAAAATTATTTTTATGCATAATTATTGATAAATTTAATATTTAAATAATTGAGGGTGTTTTAGTAAACTTATCAGTTACAGTACAGCACGATATAGTTGTATGTGTCTAAATCTGACCACCAGATGGTTATCATAAAACGAGACGGTAAGAGGTCGACCCTGCCATGGTCGTGCCCACGAGACGTAATGGCGACGAGCACCACGGTCCCTGCCAGAGTCAAGCCGCTAGAAAGCTTATATCGCAAAATAAGCGTAAGCTCTTGAGCAAGTAATGAAGGACTCAGTCATGAGAAAGCACGCCGGTCAAAGACTGTCGGATAAAAGGAAAAATTGTTAGTATATATAGAGAGGCAGGAGACCATTATAAGAGGGGAGATCTGGCTACTACAGGAGAGGCCATGATTACAGAACCAAGTGGATCTCTCAGCTATCAACAGCTTTCTCTCTTCTCCTTCCATGCTTTTACGATTATAGCGTAATCCCGTCATAAATATAAGCTTATCATTTCTACTTGATATGTAATAATCATCTGAAGAAATATTAAATCTATTTGTTCTTCTCCAACTTTTATATCCAATATATCCAGATCTAGAGTTAATTATGTTTGGCTAAAATTTACCCTCCCCTATCTACTATTGGTTTACTCAAAGGATTTAACGATTTTTTGGTTAAACAAATTGGAGCCGTCTGTGGGGATTTCTTATCCAAATTTTTAGTTTCCTTTAGATCCAGAACCAGCGAAATATCGCTACCGGGCTGTCGTGGCCTTACCTTCTCGGCACTACCACCAACTCGAAAGAGTGGTAGGTAAGCTTCCTAGACGACTGCACCTACCTAGGTCAGGTTGCCGCACAAGGCAGAAGTTATAATCAATTTCTATGCAAAACCCACGTCTCACCTGTAACGATAAGTCTAGCACGACATATGCACATCTAAAATGGGATCGCGATTGCCTGGCGTGACCGCAACTCCATTTGACGATTTTACCCTATTTTCACTCCCTCACACGCTGTAGATGGTCTATGAACGAGGTGTGATATGTTTCCCTTGTTGTTTGTGCAAATCGAACGAGATCGGATCGGGACTCAATTCCAACACTCCAGCGAATGAGGCGGGCCCTACCCGTGAAAAGCCAAGTCGCTGTCAACGGCAAAGTCGAAAACGACCGCCAAATCTAAAGCCACCATTCGAGCCCTAGGCGGAGCGAGTAATCCTACGGCGTCGCTTTTTCTTCCACTGACTTGTTGGGCGAGGTAACAGAAAAATTTCACTTTTTGGTTTATCTTCACCTTTTTGTTGGTTCAAACAGGAATACAAGCACCTGCACGGGCAAGCGAGCGAGGGACCACCGCCTCCAAAACACCCCTGAGATGGTTCCGTAGCATACCGCCCCGCAAGTAATGACCGAACAAGACCCCCCCCCCCCAATCGTAGCACATCACGAATAATAAAAATGGCTCGGTACAAAACAACTATAAAGAAAAAACAAATAACCCTCCAGTGGAAGCAAAATTAAGCAAATTGGGACTCACCCAGGAAGTGCACAGTATTCTCCAATCGAAGCAAAATTAAGAAAAATGGGACTCACCCAAGAAGTGCACGGTATTCTCCAAATAGAAGCAAAATTAAGCAAAATGGGACTCACCCGGGAAGCGCATAGTATTCTCCAAATGGAAGCAAAATTAAGCAAACCGGGACTCTCCTAGGAGCGCACAGTATTCTCCAATGAAAGTAAAACTAAGCAACCGGGACTCACCCAAAGAACACCCGGTACTCTCCGGTAAAAACAAAGCCGAGCACACCGAGGCTCAACCCCGACGCACGCACAAACAGTACGGAGACGCATAAAGCTTTCCAAAAATATATACAACAATGACACAACGGGTTAACATATTGACATTTGCTCGAAATAACGCTCATACGGCCAACGACCATCGCCAAAAGGAGAAATTGGACTCCACTCGAATTCTAACGGGTTGAAATTTCGACATTTGCTCGAAATAACGCCCCAACGTCCAACGGCCATCGGCAAAAGGAGAAATTCGACTCCACTCGAATTCTAACGGGTTGACATTTCCACATTTGCCCGAAATAACACCCATACGGCCAACGATCATCGCCAAAAGGAGAAATTCGACTCTGCTCGAATTCTAACGGGTTGACATTTCGACATTTTCTCGAAATAACACCCCTACGGCCAACGACCATTGCCAAAAGGAGAAATTCGACTCCGCTCGAATTCTAACGGGTTGACATTTCGACATTTGCTCGAAATAACACCCCTACGGCCAACGACCATCGCTAAAAGGAGGAACTCGACTCCGCTCAAATTCTAACGGGTTAACATTTCGACATGTGCCCGAAATAACACCCCTACGGCCAACGGCCACCGCCAAAAGGAGAAATTCGGATCCCCTCGAATCGAATAGGTTACAATTCGATCTCGCTCGAGTTAACGCCTTTACAGCCACTGGCCGTTGTCGAATCAAATAGGTTACAATTCGACCTCGCTCGAAACAATACCTACACGGCCACCGGCCACAGTCAAATAAAAGGAAAAGTTTGAAATCATTCAAATATAAGTTAGAAGTCAGACTTCGCCCAAAACGACGATTCCAAATTCGAACTCATTCAAATAAAGCCAGAAATGGACCTCACTCCAAACGACGATTCCAAGTTCGACCCCACTCAAGTACACATAAGAAGTTGACTTCTCATAAATCGGTGAGTCTGAACTTAATCCCACTCGAATTTCAAATCGAAACTGACTTCATTCCAAGGGGCGGATCCTAATTCAACCTCGTTCAAATCAAGGATAATACCGCCAAAAGCGGCAAACCGGAAGCCGACCTCGCCCGGATGTGCAGATCCGAAGCGACTTCACTCGGACCCATATAACAAGACCCTACTCAACCCGTTCAAGGTCGAACTCCCTGACCAAAAAATCGAGACTGTCACAAAAATAATCCGAAGGTTTACGCCAGAACAAAAAATATATATAACAAGCAAGGGGAAGAAAAAGAGGATCAACATATATACAGAGGCGAAGCCACTGTATATTTACATATACGCGCGCAACAACCGTACCTTACAAAAGGCCGAAACAAGCGCCCCCCCCCCCCCAAAAAAAAGAAAGAAAAAAAATTGAACAAATTTTTTATAAAAGCCACAAAAACTTCTTACTCGGCGTCATCACCGCCGCCCTCCCCATCTTCGTCTTCAAGCAACCCGTCCTCAGCATCAACATCTTCGCCAGCCTTCGGCGTCGCATGATCATAGCCGCAACTGACACGAGCTTCTCGCGCCTTAGCCCGAGCTTCCTCGAAGGTAGCCTCACAAACATTGCCCGCCTCCCACAAACCCTTGAATATGTCCCGCTGGGCCTCGACATGAACCCAAAGCTCATGCAAATGGCGAGGAACGGCGACAGAGGCGGATTCGACCTGAGCCAACAACTGCACCCTCTCGGTCTCAAGCGCCACGACACGGTCCCCAAGGCTCGAGGCTCCTGGTCGATCTCACTAATACGCTCCTCGAGCCGCGCCTCCCTCAGCATGGCCGTTGCCCTCTCGCATTCCTGCTCAGATTGGAGGACGCAGATAGTGTCCTCTAACCCGCCGCCCTTGCCAAAGCCGACGCCCGAGCACTTTTGACATTCTCCAACTCGGCTACTTTTATCTCCAACTCGGCTAACTTCCCCATCCATTACGCACTCAAAACTTCAACTCTGGCAGCACTCTGATCTAGTTTGGCTCGTAATGATGACATCTTTGCCTGAAGATGCTCGCACTCAGCAGCAACCCATTTTCCTAACTCGAGTTCTTCGTCCTTGGTACGAAGCAGCTCCTCGAGCTCACTACACCTGCGAATGGACTGCATCAGCTCCTGGTCCCGTTTTTCCAATTCCTCTCCGAGGGATCGGGTGCCAGTACCCGCCTTGAGCCGCTCATGCATCTCACAACATCTATTACGATACTGTCGCATCCCCTTTTTCTCGCGAAATCGGGTTTATGACGTTTTGGTTGAGACCACTCGTTCCTTTTGGGAAAGGGGTTTGCATTTTAAAGAGTCGCCACCTAACGTTTTAAGGTGCGTTAGGGCACCTAGAGGGTTCATTTATAACTATATTTGGTAACCAGAGACAGGGTAAGGGCTTGAAATTATCCTAAGGGGAAGGTGTTAGGCACCCTTCAGGATCCACCTGTGTGGTTCCCGGCCAAACCAGCTTTTGTGGATTTGTACAATTTAGCAAATAAACAAGTATGGCTCAAATAATAGGGGATTTAAGTTTAAGTACACAGATGTTCGAAAAACAGTTAATGAAAAGCTAGATTTTGAAAAGAATTATAATCTAAGCATGTTTGTGAATGTAAAGGGGTATCCTAGGTCTGTTTATAATATGGATCACATCAATGCAATACCCGATATGACACTCCTCAAAGAGGGGCTACATGTGGTATTAATGCACCGGTCATCATATCCATATCTACCCTTTCCCACCCCATAAAGGTAATTAAATCGAGGGTTTGTCTCGACCCCTATTGCATGCTGTTACCTGTCCCTTCCT